GTTTTTCTGTGTTATCACTTCTTTTAACTGGGGAGTGAAGTAGATGTTAGAAAATGTAATTTCTAATCATCCTTCTTGAGAAACTTTATCATAAGAACATAAGGATTAAATATTGCCTTTTGATTTTCTTTCTTGGATCTAATGGGAAAGTCTTTGTGGACTGCCTCCTGAGTAATGACTTAGTCTTCGGTTTGGTGCAAATCTACCTATTAATTTTCCATCTTGCACTGTACCTAGTGGTGGTCATTCTAAAACAGCCAAACAGAATCATTGATTTTGTTGACATCTCTTGCCCAAAGGAGCCATGTCATGATTTCCCAAAAAAGTGTGGTTCCTATTCAGTATGTAAATAAGATCCACATAGGAATGTGACAGTGCATTTTATTTTTCTAATCTGTGCGTAATGAGTAGAAAAGAAACAACAAACTTTTAGAGCATGGAAAGGTGGGATCTGTGAATGTGCTTTTAAGTACATATTTGGGCTTAAATGGAGCCCTAGTTACTTATTACCTTTGTTATTTGGCATTGGTTGAATTCTGATTAAAAACCAAGAAACAAAAAAGTTTTTGTGTTCCTGTCTCAAGTATACCCAAGTATACTCAAGTATACTCAACCAATTTGCTACTCAAAAGGTAGTTATCATTGAGGATTTAAATTTTTCCTGAAAAGGCCCTAAAACATAGTTGTTTGTCTTATTCCTATATTGGAGGTACTCATTGTATTTTTGGTGGTGTTAGGACTTAATGGGTTGATTCTTCCTTGATAAACAGATTCTTTTACTTCTGTGATTCGATGCCATAGTTTTTCCCCCAAAGACAGTTTCATGAATTGTTGGAAGTATTGGCTACCCACAGTGTTGATTTTCTTTTAATTTTTGTTGTTTTTTTAACCTCTGGGGTTGTTGCTTGTTCTGTCTCCTGATTTTCTGTGTCAGGAACTAATTCAACATTGTCACTGGACGCATATATCTTTTATTACTTGAAGTGTCCGCTGAAGTGAAAGGTGGATGTGTAAAGCCTGTGGAGTATAATCCAAGCTGTGTGCTCTGTGTTCTTTTGTGCTCTGCAGGGGGTGTCATTAACTTGTCAGTGCCTGTAGTTCTGTCAGCAACTCATGAAGATAAAGAGAGGCTGGANCAGCTCAGGGGCAGCTCAGCTCAGGGGCAGCTCACAGGCTCATGTGGGAATCGAACCGGTGACCCTGTTGCTCAGAGCTTGTGGTCTTAACCAATTGAGCCACTTGGGCGGCCTGCTTAATGACTTCTTGTATGTGAGATGTTATCTGCTTGAGAGTAGACCAACTGACATTTGGAAAATTGGTTGGGGAAGCACAGCATTCAAAGCCCTCTTTTATACTTTTTAAAAGTCTTATTTTGAAATGGTCATTAAGATACCCTTTGAAGAACTCTAAATTGTTGAATCAAACATTTAATTGTACATTTGTTTTTATATAGGATATTGTACCTGTAGATGCCTCTTATGAAGTAAAAGAACTCTATGTGCCAGAAAATAAGCTTCACTTGGCAAAAACAGATGCAGAAACACTACCAGCGCTGAAAATTAATAAAGTAAGTTCTTTGTTGCTTTTCATACCAAGTGATTTAGGCTTATATACAGTCGGTAGTCTGTAAAATCTGTGGTTTTATATCTGTTTGAGGGCATGGGTAGTTGTGTGTGATGAGACATTTCAGGGATGAGAAATGTGTTTAATTTGTAAAACTATATTCCCAAATTACCATGGCCTAGATTTTCCTTTAGGCATAATATTTATTTATGTTTAAATATCAGAGAACAAAGATTGTGTAAGATTTTTAGGTTTGTCAGAAGGAATGGGTTCTAAAAGGTTAAGAAATACTAATCTGTAATCATTAAAATGAACATTTTTTCCTTTAAACATGTTTTCTAATCCCCTGCCAAAAACCTAATTCTCCTTTTCTTATATTTTTAAGAATATTTCTGTTGTACATCTTAGCTGTAATGATATCATTAGGTGTTTTTCCAGTTTAAAAAACTGCTTAGTTAAACTAGATATGATGACAACAGAGACTCTAATTTATCATTTTCAAACCTTAGAGAAATTGAAATCATGTCACTGGGTATACTTTACAACAGAAAGATTAAGGAATGAGAGCCTGAACTAGAAGCAGAGTTTCCCAGCCTTTCTTTTCGGATAGTAAAAATCTGACACACCCAAGGAAGTGCCAGATCTGGAAGTAAGCAGAAAGGAGAAAAATAACCCCCAAATTTTTGTGCTTGGAGAAAGACTTTTCCAGTAGCTTTTCAAATCCCTGATAGAAGTAGATGATCCGATGTGTGTTGTGGATTGGATCTCTGACCAGGAGCCCAGACACGCTGGGAGCACAGACATGGCGGATTCAGAGCAGAGCTGCTCAGGAAGCTGACTGCTGCCGAGGAACAGCGGGCTTTGTCACTGACGACTTTACATGGAATGAAAACACACATGAGCCGTACACACACACACACAGAAACAGAATGACAGTGAATGAATATGAATCTAGGTCAGTCAGACTGTACAACCCAGAAAGATAGTAGCTTTTTAAAAATGTGAACTTTTCCCCCATACAATGGTTTGTTCTTTACACAGCAGTATGAGAGGTAATTAATTAAAAACTTCATGCTAAGTCAGCTAATGTATCAGCTTGGGTTGCCATAACAAACACCATAGACTGGATGACTTAAACAGCAGAAATTTATTTTCTCCCAGTTCTGGAGGTTGGAAAGTCCCACATCCAGGTGCTGGCTGATTTGGTTCCTCGTGAGGCTCTCTTTCTGGCTTGTTGACAGGCACCCGTTTCACCATATCCTGACTGGGTGGAGAGAGGGAGCTCTGGTGCCTTCCTCTTCTTATGAAGGGCAGCCGACCTATGGGAGTAGGATNTGAATTTCTCAGTATTTTTTGTCAGAGCATATTTATTTTCTTAACGTGCTTTAGGTGGCACATATTTATTCAAGAAAACAGAAGACACTGAAAAATACTGAGGATTTTTGGATTAAAAGATTTTTTCTCCTAGCCCTTGAATGGTCACTAGATGGCCTGCTGGTATTGCATTTTAACTTGGCGTGTTGTGACATGAGGAAGTAGGCTCCTTGCTGCTGGTTTTAATCTAAAGTGATATTTTAAATGCTGTTTTTAAATCTACCAGGAACTCTAGATTTACTAGTGCTATAAATTATTTAAAGGTTTGTCTTTTTATGAAATGGTGGTTTAGTGCTCTAAATGGATTTTATACTACACATAAAAACCAGACTTTGCAGCTCAGTTTTAAAGTATTGCCAGAATGTCGTTTGGTGTTCATGCTTTGGATGCATGTAGTGTAGATAATAGAAATTTAATAGTTATATAAAAATATGAATGAGCTCTAATGTTCAGATCTGTTGAGCAGATTTGGCTCAAGAAAAAAGTGCAGAAAATACTTTAAGGAAAAACTTAGAATATGGAATCACTATGTTTATTAACATGTTCAGCATTCTTTAGGAAGAGTAAAAAGAGAAGGCAAGAGCTACTATGAGTATGTATTTTCAGGTAGTGAACATTGTTCTGCCGGCCAGTTTCCAGATAAAAACAAACAATTGTTTCTTTGGACAAAGATATAGATACAGCATATGTTAGATCTAGATTGCATTAAATCAGTCAAGCAAAAAAAGTTTTAAGTACCCATGTTATGTTTTAAAATGAATATTTAAAGAGTCATAATATCTAAATATTTCTAGACCTACTTCATTAATGGTAGCGTATGAACTGTTTCCTGATCCCCTAGCCAGGAAGGACTCTTAGGGGCACCCCCAAATCCCCTTTACCCTGAAATGCTGGGTGACTGTGGAGTTCTGAAGATTAGGTGAGGGGTTTAGGTATGTAAACAGTTGCTCTTGACTTGGCTTGTGATCTGTTTTTGTTTTAAAGTGAATTCCTGAAATAAAGGGTTTTATATGAACAATTTGAAGAAGAGCGCATTGCTTTCTAATAGCTGACTGTGTCTCTGGAAATCCCAACGAATCCCAAATAGAATGGATAGCTCGTGAGGCAGGGACTTCACATCCTGTTGTCCAGATACCTTGTCTCACTTTGAGGTGGTTTTGCTCCTTTTAGATATTTAGTAGTGGTTTTGGAAACTGAAAAGATTTGTCCCTAGAATGTGCTAGAAACCGGGTATGTCTACATTGAAACATTTCTTTTTATATTTCTGATAGAGAGCTCCCTTCTCTTCTCTCTGCAGTGGAATCCACAGAACTGGCTTCCTCTGAGCAAATGTTCCACTTTCCTCTTGGTTCATGCTGTTACCTACACACTTTATGTATCTTTTTGGACAAGAGAAACAATAGCAACCTCTTGAACTTTAATTTTGGCATTAGGTTAGGCATCAAAAGAATTTTGTCTCTAAGTTGTGAAGCTAGAATTCATTTTGAAATATTGCTGGATGTGGATTTTGAAAAGGGAAGAATTTTGTGAAATGCTTGTAATGAAAAAATTATTTTGACTCAAAAATAGGGGGAAAAAATCCCTTTCTTAAAAAGAAAGTCAGTATAGCATCTATGTTCATACACATAAAGTAGCCCATTACTAAAAATGCATTCATGCTAAAGCTATGGCTTTATTAGTGCGCAAAACATTAAAAATATAATTTGTTTGC